GCCAGGCCTCGGTTGAAGATGAAGTGCCAACTGCTGGAGCTGCACGTCGGGGCTCCACCCCAGAACTCCCAAGAGACTCCAGCAAGTCATGTGACTCTGCTCTGCTCTTTCTGGAAGAGATTGGCTTTGGAGTCAGACAGATCTGGGTGCGAATCTCGTCTGGCTGCCTGTGTCGGTGTAGCATGGAACAAGCTGCTCACACCCTGGGCAACAGTTCTTCCCGGGACAGGCCACGTTGGTGCTTTCTACTTCACAGGATCCAACTGCCTGCATCCAGGAAGGCTCACAAAAGCAGCCCTTCTCCTATTCTTACTTAAATACTCTACTGATATTAATGGGACTCACATTCCAGAAGGAGAGCAGATGTGCAGACAGACAATTACGCTCCAGTGTGACATACGCAGCAATCGCAGTGCCGTGCAAGGCACAGCTACTGCGCCGGCTGATTAAAAAAAAGGCAGTGTAAGCTCCAGGAAAACTAGAAGGGGCCACACACATTTCATCTTCAGAGCTGAAACCTCCTGTCTTCCCTGCAGCCTGAGCCCTGCTCATCGGCTCCCCAGGGTCTAAGGAGGGGGGCCCATGTCAGAGCACTTCTCCCCACCCTGGCCCTCCATGGCTCCAAGCCGGGGGTCCCTGGAATGGGAGGCGCAGTCTCTTCTGTTCCGGCCTACGGAGGTGTTTCCCAGTGTTTGCTCCCTCGGGTGCCAGCAGGGCTGACACTCCAGTAACCCTGGGTACCATATTTAAGGAGCCGCTCCCTGTCAGGGCTGTGCTCTTTCACACCCCAGACACCTCGCTTGCCTCACCTTACTCCCAGCTCTGACCCTAGTCCTACAAGATGCTCAGCTAAAGATGGCGTCCGGGTTGAAAATGTTAACAGAAATGTCCTTCGGTGGCCCAAGTCTGGAGAGTCACAAGGACTGTGGGCACGCTCCAGCTTCAGGGCCCTTGCACGGGTCTGGAATGCCCTCCCTTAGACCCCCACATGACTCACACCTTCCCTTATTCCGACCTCCTCAGAGGCCTCTGGGGCCCCTTAGTCCAGAGCAGCCCCTTCTCCCACATTACCCCAATACACTTAGCGTCACGACACCTTCACCAGTTTCCAGATGCTCCCTGAATTAGGATGGTTTTACTTAGGGTTTTTTATTTTACATCTTAGGATACTCTGACTTTCCGTGTATCCTGACACACAATACTTCCTTCAGTAATGTGCATGACAGAGTGAGCCATCAGGTGGCATCGCCCAGCTGTAAGCGAATCAGACTCTGCATCAGGTGGCATCGCCCAGCTGTAAGCGAACATAGGTGCTCTGAGCGTGTCCGGCCTAGGCCAGGCCAAGCCGTCGTGCGATAGGTTACTAAATGCATTTTGGCGTATATTTTCAGCTTATGATGGGTTTATCAGGACGTAACTCCATCACAGGTCAAGAAGCACCTGTATTTGCCTGTGGTCCCCTCTGCTGGAATGTCAGCTCTCGGAGGGCAGGGACGTGTCCATTGTCACCGCCAGATCCAGTGCCTGGGATGGTACCCAGTACAGAATAGAGCCTCAGTAAATATTTTTTTCATTAATAAAGGCAAGGCAGGAAGAAGGAAGGAGAGAAAGTTTCTAAGAAGTTATTTTTTTTAACCCAGTATTTCTCAATATTAGCAATGACATAAATTGTGCTGCCTGAAACCCCGAAGCTCCCTAGTCTCTGCGTGCTCTGGGAAACGCTCTCTTGTCTTAACCTGTCAGAACCTCCCCACTCATGCGGCCTTTTCTCATTCACCTCTTCTGACGTCCTGAGGCCTACCTCCCCCACCGTGCAGTGGGCTGTTGCCTGCTCTCGGCCTGGCACGCCCACAAGACACCTCCTGCTTCAGGCATCTGCTACTTCTGACAGGGCTCCTACCCCTGCCAGCTAGTTCCAAAGCAGCAGTCACCCCTCCACCTTACACCCCCAATTCCAGACTCACACCTGTAATTCCCTCGAGGCTTGCCAGCAAACGTGACCCCCCATCCGCCCTGGCCCGCCTCCCGTGCACACACCATCTGCACCTACGTTGGGATGCTAGAATGCTGATGCATCTGAGTGTGTCCTTCCCGCCTCCTTCCTGTGGGGAGGGAGCCTTCCCTGGTCTGAGCTCATCAGCCATCTGGGTTGATCACGCACCCCTCATTGTTTTCATCAAAGGTGAGGGTATGGGGAGTGTGGTCTCACCCGAAAGGTGAGCCGGCTAGTCTACCCACGCTGGAAGTCACGACAGATGGGATCGGGTGCTGAACTCCTGTCCCTCAGCAGCTATCCCCTCTCCTCAGGGTCACCCTCCTACAGGCAGCCTCCTTGTCTGTCATGGTCATCCTGGCTGGGCCAGCCTTCTCCGTCCCGTCCTGGCCTTCCTGCTG